AAGTGGGAGTTAACAATTTGTTTTGCAATGAAATTTTACCCAAAGACAATATACATGTCTCTTTGTAAGCATTCAAGTGAGACCACAGGCATTACCTCCACAACCTAATTGAGAGCATAGTGTTTGTTTCTCTAATTTGTGTCTTTCTGGAAAGTAACACATTTCCAAAACGACAAGTAGGAGGAAAATGAACTCGATAACAATCAAGCTTAGCAACAAACTAGAATTGAGAATCTCGAAAGACCTTAAAAGGGCTTCGTGAGAATACTTGATCAAGAATACTCAAAAGGACTTTACAAGTGACTTAAAAGATAATTCATTTCTCACAAAACTTTTGAAAAGTTGGAGTAAGATCAAGAAAATCAAAGGGCTTTGGAAGCGCCTTGAAACTCAGTGTTTGATGCAATAACCCCGTATAGGTATAGAATTCACCAAAGGCTTGGGTTGAATCCTATAAATTTTCTATTAAGTTAGAAATAAACCTAAGACTTACAAGCATACTATTTACTATTAGATAGTAAGGGATTAATGTCTTGTAAAATAGCTACGACAAATCCAAATTCCGAATAATGGTTAGAGGCTTAAAAAATCCGAGATAGACTCCATGTTTGAAAATCATGTTTGAAACTTGATTAATTTGCATAAAGGGTGAAAGACCCATCGATTGCAAATAAGTTTTCAAGGAGAAAACTAACAAATGTGGAAATTTATATGCATACATAGCTAGATTGGTTGAAAAGGATACAATTAAATTCACGGAGTTGATTTTAATAAAAACCTATTCACCAATCGTAATGCTAAAGTCTTTTTGTGATTGTTGTAGCAAAATTGCTCATATGAAATATGGCAAAATAGATACCAAAACCGCCTTCCTAAAATAGGATTTTGGAAGTGACTATGAAAACAGTCTAAGGGTTTTGAAAATCTAAATAAATGCTAGATTTAAAAGCAAGCTCAAGGAATCCGTCATGGGACTAATGGAAGCATTCCATATAGGAATTGGAACATGTTTTCTCATGAAGTTAATAAGAGGATTGACTTATGGAGAAACATAAAAATTCTTATGAATAAGAAGTTTAGTGGGAGCAAAAGTAAATTATATAAAGGTCTAGCGAAAAGTTTATGAGCTCTATTGTGAAATAACTATCAAATGCTAAATGCTTATATTTGAAAGTACTTTCGACAATAGACCAAGCAAAAGACGATACTTAGTACATATTGTTATTAAGATCTATTGTATAGACTTAATAAAATGTTTGAACGTGTAAAGGATTTTACCATGTTAAACATGAATTGAAGGACTTTGAAAGACTTTCGACCCGTGTGTATAAAACTAAGTAAAGTTTTGAACTAAGTATAAGCTAGGATAAATACTAAGTCAAACATGAAAGACTCTAATAGAGACTTTCAACCATATCACATAGCAAACAATTTAGCAAAGACTAAGTGAAACTGAATGAGCTAAAATGTCAAATTGATGGGATAAAGATTTAGAATCATTCTACAATTAAATCCATCATGTAAAGCTATGCTATGAAATCGTCACACGACTTACTTGCTTAGAGCATGTGAAGTATGTATGTAGTACCAATCAACATGAATCTATGTAATAGATCGTTAGATTGTGGCCAAGAACATCCAAAGTACTTGGATAAGTAACAGGATGAGTTCTTGAGGAAACAAATACAATTTGAGAATTGATGTTGCAAGCACAAACCTTAACAAGGATTAGATCCTTAACAAGGAAGCCGTTTATAAGCACGAGCTAATAATAAGTCGTGGCTTGAGAATGGTAACATGGACGTGCATCCATGTGTAATGTGCAGGAATTTAAGGAAAATTTGCATGATCACAAGTGATTAGGGTATCCCAAATCATTGTGAGCCGTTTAGAAAGAAACCCAAGCAAAGAATCATCAAGAAGTCTACTAAAAATATATGTTGAGAATATAATAAAGAAGATGTTCTATGGAAAGTTCGTTGCTGAACGTTAATGATTGTAGGTTATCAAGTTGAAGGTCTCAATCATGAAAATGAGTGGGAGCCATCACTTGGACAATAATTCCTAAATCCCATATAATCCATGACATTCTCAAATTTTATCATCTTATTATGAAAGTGATCAGTAATGAAGATGCTAAGTTTAGCAAAGTAGTTATAACTAAACCTATACAATAAGTGAACGACAACATTCACAATTACATGATAGAAATCAAGCATATTAGATATGGGTGTGATTTCTATAGATGTTTTATAAAGAGTGATACTCTTAAAACATTCGGAAAAATCATTTATCATAAGATGAACCATTCAATTTTTGGAGTAATTTAAAATTTCACGCAATTTTATCACTCCGTTTGCTATTTAATTGTGGTTTAGAATTAAATAATGAGTCTATTCGATTCTTGGAATATTCAAAATAGGGTATCACGACCATTCATGGTATGGAAACACCTATTAAGTGAACGTTGAATATTATAATCGAAAACTATCCCTAATCGAGGTCATTTAAACGATGGACGATTAATGACCAGTTGAGATTAGTGTGTAAATTGATTTATAGCACCGTTTCATGTGCTACAAGGACATGATTGTCATGAATCATTTGCATAGGTATTGGTTTAGAACCATACTGGATCGACCTATGAGAATATTTTAAAAGATTAAAAATCGTCATAAGTATACTTCTCATTATTGTTATCGGAACCTTTTTCCTTGACCATGAGTATTGTGAGCTTTCTTGTTTGAATACTAGTCCGATTTGATGATTTTCTAACGTCTATCGTAACAGGGGATTATAACAGCATCACTCGGGCGGCTAGGTCCTCTTAGTAAGAGAAGTTACATTACAAGACTGGAAATGTCCCCCTATTCAAATTAGGGAAAATGTCTTTATTGTTTACAAGGCCTCTCGTAGAGCGAGACTGTAAATATGCATGGTCATCCTCGGATGGAATTTAAAATCATCTGTTTATTGACATTCGGACTTGGAATCGAGAAACACTTCTGGACGTAAATAAGGATGACAAAATAATCTTACCTTATAGTTCATGAAGAGATCTTAAGCGACATAGGAAAAAGGATATACACTAAAAGCACACTTGTCCGGAAGGACAAATGGGAGTTTGAAAGGAATAGTGTCCTTCGAACAAGTATATTATTCTGATAGTGAGTTCAGAATTATTAGAAAGCTAATATATTCAGTAAGGTCAAGTGATCGGAATGCCTAGGTGGAGGCCGCTTCCGATCAGTAATATTAAATAGCCAAAAGCATGGCTTGAGAATTCTTTGCTTGAGTAGAAGTTTAATAGGATATTGCCTTTGCAAAAACCCTTAAACTCATATAATACTCGAGTTTTGGTCGGGCCTCTCTAACCTCGAGGCAACGGGCCTAAAAGTCGGTAGTCATTTTTACGGGTGGATTTCCGTTGGAGGCTCTCGTGTTTTCGAGGCTACGCTTTCAAGTAAGAGCCCGTTCGGTCGGGCGAAGCACGCTCCAAAAGGTAATCGTTTTATCTTAATCTTGTGTTTAATTTAATTATGTTTATAGTTTTATTTATTGCGAGTGCGGTCTTGTTTTCGGGTTTGTTTCCGCTGTGAATCGGACTTACCAAACCCCAACAAGATGATGCTGAGGCAGCCTTTTAGAAATTGAAAGAGAATTTACACTCCTTGCCGAGGCTTGTTAGCCCTCTGCCAAAGGAGACGCTCTACATGTACCTAGTCGTCTCAGATCATGCCCTTAGTGCTGTTCTCCTTGCTAAGAGAGACAGCAATCAACTCCCGGTCTATTTCATTAGCCATTTGCTCAGAAATGCTGAACTCCGGTACCCCACGGTTGAAAATTTTGGCCTTGATCTTTACATGGCTGTTAAGAAGTTGAAACCAAACTTCTTGGCACATCTAGTGGTGATCTACACAGATCAACCCCTTAAGCGGCCAATGACAACCCTGGACTCATCCGGCAGAATGCTCAAATGGGATATTGAATTGCAAAGTCTTGAAATCACATATGAACCAAGAAACGCGGTGAAGGATCAGGCGTTTGCCGACTTCATTATCGAAATGACAAGGCCGGTTGCTCTGGACAACCTTGATCAGATTTGGAAGGTGCATGTAGACGGGAGCTCTACTATTAGTACAAAAAAATAACTTATTGAAGCAAGTAAAAAATGCCTCTAATAATAATGATATTGCCTCTAATACCTTTTAGAGTTAATTAATTAAGTGTCTCTAAAAATTCCATCGCTAATTAATGGTTGCCCCTAAAGCCTCTTTTAGAGGCAATACAATGCATTGCTTCTAAAAACCCATATATTTAGAGGCAACCGTATAACCTTGCCCCTAAATATAATTAGAGGAAACCGTATAATCTTGCCCCTAAATATATTTAGAGGCATTTTGTAAATTTGCTTCTAAATACCATATATATTTAGGGGCAGCCATATTATTTTGCCTCAAAATATAATTAGAGGCATTATTCCTATTTGCTTCTATATATCATATACATTTAGAGGCAATCATGTAATTTTGTCTCAAAATATAATTAGATGCAATCTTGTATATTAATGCTAATGATATTTAGATGCAAATCAGAAATTTGACATGAAAGGTTCTTAGAGGCAGAATGCAGGATATATGCCTCTCATGTATTGATTCTAAATGTATAGATTTATATATTACAACAATATTACATTTTATGATATAATTTTTGTACATTAATAGAAAAAATCATTTTAAAGAATTAACCATGTCAGTATAGCATTGTAAGGCAAGTTGATTTCATTGAATCAAACAACAATGATATTATTAATAATTTAGTAGTCATTACATAATGATCCCAAAAAATTTAATGGAGTTACTAAACTACTTAACTTCAAAACATGCATATGAATACATAAATAAAAAAATAAAAAAAAATGGATAATGTATTTATGTGAATAAGAGGGAGTTTTCATCTAAAACTATAAGCTTGAAAGCAACATTATTTTCTTCAATTTCTTCTAATTCGATCTCTAGCCATCTTCATTATATAATTTCCTGTCATTAAAAAGCATGAAATTAATATTTGTCATAATGACGAAAAATTAAATTAAAATAAGTATAATTCACTAATCCATAAAATAAAAAAACTGTAAATTATAATAAAAATTATAAAATCCAAAGAAAGATTAAAAAATTTATTTCACTAAAACTTACAATGGATTAGAAAAGTAGTATTGTTACTCTTTATCTACTTGCATTTCATCCTCCTCTTCATCATCATTCTCATCGTCATCCTCATCGCCATTGACGTTATCATTAACCTATAATTTCATAATTAGTATTAAATGAACAATAAAATATATTTGGAATACATAATGGTAAATAATAACATGCCAACATCTCTGAATGTATTAAAAGTTGAATAACAAACTAAACATATAAATAATAAAAAAAAAGGCAATACCTTCTTGTTTGAAGATACATTGTGAGTTTCTTTCTCATACTCAACTTCCTCATTCTCATCGGGTAGATAATCACCATCTTTCTCAAGAGATGCATTATACTTTTGTTTACTTTTCTTAACTTTTGAGCTATCTACTAAGCTTGTTAAAGAAGCCGCAATGCGCTTTATGCCCAACGTTTTCATCCTCATCTTGTTAACTTCAATTATCTTGAGTATTTGTAGTTCATACTCATTTTCTTTTGAAAGAGTCTTTCCTCTTGATTTTGACATTTTGGAGCTAGAGAACAAAAAAAAATAGAAATCAAAGTTTTGATAAACGAACTACGATAGATATGTGCTTTAATCAAATCATTACAATAGATTAAAACTTAGTAGAATTCTGATTTTAAAAAAAAAATTAATTACTGGATTAATTTGTCAATTTGACACATAAAGAAACTTATAATGTCATAAAATTGTCTATATATGTATTTGACCCATACATATAAAAGTAGTTTACACTCGGCTATTTAACCAAACAAAACAAAATTTCATCCTTTAATCAAAGTTTACAGTCAAACAGAGGAACCGGCATTGAACATACGGTTTCCACCCAAATCACGCATCACCCTAACTAGCTATTCAACACTCACCCTTCTCTTTCTTCCCTCCTCCCATAGTAAAATTTACACCTTTCTACCAGTCCTTTATTTATATTTCTATGACAAATATTTCTTTGAATAATTATTAGTGTTTTGATTATAGAGAAAATTAAAAATAGGGTAGTATGAGAAAGTTACTTTAAAGATATATGTCCTATGTTATCTATTCATCTATACCTCACATTTTTCTCACACAAGACATTGTTATATGTTGTTTATTCTTATATATTTTTTTTTTTCCTCACAAAAATCATTAATCTACACATGCATATTTGCAAAAAAAATCAACCAATAAACACAATTTAATTCAACTTATATAAGTTAAACAAAACTTCCCCTATAGTATAATAGTAGACCGTAAACATCAAACTTGATACAATTTTTCATTCAATTACAATTCACATGCAAAATAGTTCAATTTAAAAACTATGAATAATAACCCTAAATTCGTGTTCAATCTAAAAATTTAGAATACTCTTAAATTAAAATATATATATATATATATATATATATATATATATATATATATATATATATATATATATATATATATATACATATATATATATTAGAAACAGCCAGCAAATATTACTTCTATTGATGAATTAAAGATACTAATTACCTTGGACGGTGATAAGTACTCCAACAAATAAATCAAATTCGGTTGCTTCCAATCGATAATTTTCTTGGTTTGGTTCCTCTCCGAGTTCGAGCAGTATGATTTTATAAGATTTAACTTTTGTGATTGCTTAGGGTAAAATTAAAGGAGAAAAATTTTATAAAGAAAGATAGACAAGGGAGGGAATAACAGATGAAAAAATAAAAATTCCCTCTCAATTTTTGGGCTAGTTCAGTTTCGAAAATTTCACTATTTTGAATCCTAATTCCGCCAAGATAATCAAGAATTTTATTTTTTTTCCATTTTAATTCCTGAGTTTTTGAAATTGAAGAAAAGATAAGAAGATTTGGTGGGTTGTTTGGCTCTTTTGGCGGAAGATACGAAGGCTTATTTTTGGGGAAATAATGGCGGAAGAAAAGATAAGGGGTTGGGGTTTATTTTTCTTTGTTTGCTTGCCTCCGTTTTTTGTAGAGGTGGGAAATGATTGAGATCTACTAAGTAATTGAGTATAATATACAACATACATTCATGCTAAAAATAACAAAATTGTTTGACTTTTATTATACTATTTATACTAGTATATCAATTTGACTAAAGCTTTTTATGAATATATATGATGTTATGTAAAATATCTTATGTACCGTATAAAAAAACTAAAGTAGTCACGGCTTTGGGTGTAGATAACGAATTCAAGATAGTGTAAGATATTTTAAAGTTTTTTGTATTATTTTATAAGGGAAGTGGGGTTGGTTAAAAACTATAAAAAAAAATTAAAAAAAAAAAAAAACAAACAAAAAACAAAACCAAAAAAAAAAAAAAAAACAAAACAAAACAAAACAAAAACCTGGAAAACCAAACTGATATACATGTGGAGGGGAGAAAATATAAAAAAATATATATTAACATATGATATGTGGAGACTACTAGTGAGGATGGAAGTTGTAAAATATTGTTAAAAGTTTCTAAAAATGAAAAGGAGCAAGTAATAAGGTACGATGGTAAAAGGAAAATTGAGAAAGTAATTAAAAAATATGAAGAAAGTATCAACTTATTACAATTTGTTACAAATCAAGATAATATATTAAAATCAACAACAAAAGATAACAAAAAGTATCACTGTATGCATAATAATACACAAAAATTAAGATTATAAGGGTCTATTCCCTTTAGCTTATTTTTATCAGTTCAGTTCAGTTTCTAATTTTCTTCTCTCATAAAATTTTCAGTTCAGTTCACTTCTTAATTTCCTTCTCACATAAAATATTCAGTTCAGTTCATTTTAATTTAGTTCAGCTGAACTCAGTAAATCAGAACAGGCAATAAGACAACATATACTTTAATGGCACATTATACATGCATAATAATATACAAAAATGTACTACTATAAAAAAAACATCAAATGAAAAAAAAATTAATTTGCCAATTATTACCACCGCAAGTTAATATCACTTTGTAAATTACTACCGCAAATTAAAAAAGTTGTGAATTACTGCCGCAAAAAATTTTAAGATGTTACGGTTACTACCAAACCCCCATTAAACCCAACTATGACGTCAATATATCCCTTTAACCCGTGTTTGACCATGGTTAAGGGCTTTAACCAGCCCCCAAAAAAAAGAAATTGGATTAGGGATATAATGACGTCATGGTTAAGGGCTTTAACCATGGGTTAAAGTGATATAATGACGTCATAGTTGGGTTTAATAGGGGTTTGGTAGTAATCGCAACATCTTAAAATTTTTTGCGGTAGTAATTCACAACTTTTTTAATTTGCGGTAGTAATTTACAAAGTAGTATTAACTTGCGGTAGTAATTGGCAAATTTTCCAAAAAAAAAACCCATAATTCCCTCCTATATGCATGCTTAACATATAGGTGTTACACGCTTATATGCACTATGTTGCTATGTAAAATACTTTGGGATTAGTCTTATGTATATTATCATAATATAAGCTTTTTATTTGTATTATTAAATGTACTAATACTTCTTAATGCATGTTCTCTTTAGCTTAAATTCAGTTCAGTTCATGCCAGTTTTGCATCATATGGGTTACTTTGTTTGTTATATTATAGGGGGTTACCTAGTCAGTGTAAGGGGTTATTCGATCAATATTACAGGGGGTTACTTAGTCAATGTTATAGGAGTCACCTAGTCAGTGTTATAAGGGCTACTTTTTCCTTTTATAAGCGACCACACAGTGTGGCTAGCCGCACACAAGATGCGATGACTTTTATCTCAAACAAATGTATTTAACTATGTTAAATGTTTCTAAAATTATTTTAAATTAGGTGACGGTTAAATTGTAACAACTACAATAAAAAAAATTAAAAAAATACCAATAAAAAAAGATAAAGTAAATATTTTTTGTTGTACTGGACGTATTCTTGAATGGAAAATGATAAACATATTGCTTTAGGTAATATATAAAAAGCTAAAGCGGGAAATATTGAGGAAAATTTAACATTAATTACACCGATCTGCGCGTGATTTTGTCATGAATTCCCAACTTAATTTCATTTTAGAAAGGATATTTAATGCTTATACATAGTCCTAAGGACTACATATAACATTACCCATCTTGAATCTAGATACTCCCTCCGTGTTTTACTAAGTGCTATACTTCTTAAATCCGGCCGTGTTTTAATAAGTGTTACACTTTCTTTTTTTTGGCAAAAAGCTACATTAAAATATTATATCTCTCTCCTCTCATGGTTCCCACCCAAACCCACTACTACTTTTTTTTATATATTTTTCCTCTCACATTCATTACTTTTAAATAAACTATTAATCCCACTATCTTTCTTTTACAATTTTTTAATACTCTAACTACCTAACTTACCTCTTATTTTATTTAAATCAATTAAATTGCCTAAAACTATGTGCCGGTCAAACTATAATACTTAAAAAAACACAGAGGGAGTAATTAAAATGGCAATAAAAAAAAAGAAATAAACAAAAATATTTACTTTATGTTTCAAAAAAAAAAAAAAAAAAAAGATAAAGAAACAATAACATCCCTCCTACTGCCTTATCACATGCCTAACAACATTAGAAATATATATATATATATATATATATATATATATATATATATATATATATATATATAGGAAACTAATAATCCCATCTTTGTCACTTTTGCTCAAAACAATCCCACCTTTTCGAATTCCCAAAACAATCCCACCTTTGACCCCCATCTTCTCAAAATGAGCCTTTTACCGGTTTGTGAAATGGGTAACTTATTTTAGTAGGTGACCTGCCATGTGTCACCTTCTGATTGGTACAATTTTAATTTTTTAATTAAAAAAAAAACCAAAAATAATCTTCCCTCCCCAACTCCCCACCACCGCATCAGACACCACCTCACCACCCCTCCCCTTTCCCCACCTCCCTTTCCCGGTTTCCCCACCATTGCAACCTTAATCTTGGCCTCCCTACCCACCGCAAATCCGCCACTAACAATTCTCTCCTCACTTTCTCTCTTCAAATCCGCCATGAAAGCTCACACTCAAAGCTCGAGAAAACGAAAGCAACCACCATTATCATTAGCAGCAGCAAATTAAAATTCGAATCCATTTTCGATTAAAGATGGGTGAGATCGGGGTTCGTGGGTGAGATCGGGTTGAATGGAGATCGGGTTTCAAGGTGGTTGAATGGAGATCGGGTTTCGTGGGTGAGATCGAGTTTTCGAGTTGAATGGAGATCGGGTTTCAGGGAACGGTATTTCGGGGCGGTTGGGGTGGTTGGTGTTAGGGGGTTTAAGGGCGGTGGTATTTCGTTGGTAAGATCGGATTTCAGGGCTTTGACAGAGGGGAGATCTGGGCTATCGGCGGCTAGTGGTTAGTGGTGGTCATGGTTCGTGGTTAGTGGTTGTCGTGGACAGTCGTGGTTAGTGGTAAATGGTGGTCGTGGTTAGGGTGTTGTGGTTGAGGTGGTGGGGTTAGTGGTGCTGGGGTTGAGGTGGTGGTGGTTAGTAGTGCTGGTGGTTGAGGTTAGGAGAGAGAAGAAGGTGGTGGGGTTAAAGGGGAGGTGCGTGTTGGCTGTGCGGTGGTGGTAAAAGGGGAGGTGGTGGCTTGTTAAAGGGGAGATGGTGGCTGGGGAGAGATTGTAAAAAAAAATTTAAAAAATATAAAAAAAAAAATAAAATAAAATAACCTGTTAAACAAGTTGTAGGTTAAAAGGTTCATTTTGAGCAGATGAGGGTCAAATGTGGGATTATTTTGGGAATTCAAAAAGGTGGGATTGTTTTGAGCAGAACAGACAAAGGTGGGATTATTAATTTCTATTTTTCATATATATATATATATATATATATATATATATATATATATATATATATATATATATATATATATATATATATATATATATAAAAGTAAGAACCCCAACAATGATAATGGCGGTAAGGCCTTTGTATATTCCGCCATTATTTTCCCAAAAATCAAAATATCCCACCAAAGTTTCTTTATCTAAATTTTGGTAAATTAACCTTTGCCTAACTTTCTTTATCAAAGTTTCCTTTTATACTATCACCATAAGCAATCTAAAAAGTCAAGTTTGTAGAAATAATACTATTCAATTTTTGGAACGAACCAGAGGAACAAGACGAAGAAAAAAAAAGCTTGAATTCAGCCGAATTTGATTTTTTTTTTTTTTTTTTTTTTTGGAGTACGTCTCACTGTTCAAGGTAATTTGATTTGTTTACTTTGTCAATAGAAATATAGTGGTTCTGAATTTAGGGTCCCGGTTCTTCAGTTTATTGTCATAATTTTATATTGAAATTTGATGGTGGAAGTGAAATTGAATGTTAAAATTATCAATTTTTCATGAATTTCATCCTATTATATAATGTATTAATCACCATAAAAGGCACCTAACTTAATTTTGTTGGCTTTGGGTAAAACGATTGTAAGGAACTAAATTTTGTTGATTAAATCATATTAATCAAATACGTGTGCAAACTGCTTCATGATATTTTGAGTATCTTTATATGCCAATTTTGACAAACTAATGCAGTAATTAAAGTATTGTTGACACATTAATTAATTTAATCAGCCAAGTACTTTTTTTAATCCCTTGTAAATTTTTATTTGCTTAATTTTGTGTTTTTAATTCATAGCTATGTTACAACATCTTTTAATGTAATGTACATTTTAATAGGATAATTACATAGGACATCATGGTGTCAAGAATCGTGAGTGGATAGATGCAATACAAAAAAAAAATGATCCTAGGGATAAGATTGGCGTAAAAGAGTTAATATGATACTACCTATAATTAGATTAATATTGTCAGATAAGATGAATAAATAATATACTTGAAATCAAGTAATCAAACTTCATGACTTTAAGTTTAACTAACTCGTCTATTATCTCAAGCAGCCATGTTAGTTTCAAGTTAGTGGTTTTAACTTTTAAGTGATCCATCTATTTTAGAACCCCATCAGCCCCTTATTAATTGTGCTATATTACCAACCTTGTATGTCTTGATCTCTTTCATAGTGGAATTACCCAAGTCCTTAAGTTGTCAAATTTTTAATTATTATGATTTATTAAATATTATATAATGATAATTGGTTTATATAAAGTTTCATGCAAACATAGAAATTAAATTGTTATGATATTTTGGTTTAATTTTTTTGTATGGCTTTTTATGATAATCTTCTATGTTTACATATATTTATCTATTTTATAGGTGACAATTTTGTCAAAGGAAAACCATCCAAGTGCTACTACTAACTTAAGAGCATTAGCACAAGGTCTGGAT